CTATTAATACGCACGTGTGTGTAGTCGACACAACCTGCAACGCCAGGAAACTCAGCAACTTCATAAAAGTCCCGCATAACTACAGAAAGTGCTGCCGGTTGCGGAAAGCGCACCAGCATCGCGTACAGGTGCTTTGCGACGAGTAGCGTAACTTTTCCTACTGCACGGCAAACTGTTGACTACAGAATGCGGACGAGATTCCCGGTGACTGTTTGGAATGTGCCAGCGCCGTAAAACCTGAGAGCCATCAGTAGCTGTTAGCTGTAACACTGGAGGCACAGGGTGTCTTCGGTTGTCCCCACTTTCACGGAGCAGCAACATACCCAGCAGCTGCCGCACGGCGTTCTTCGTGAATCTGTATCGAGCGTGGAATTATTCCTCGTCGTACAACTCTATCGGATTTCCTCAGTCACGTAAAGCGGGTCCAAGAATCTTAAGCAGGCAGTGCGCCTCAGAAAATGCTACGCTTATGGCGAGGCAAGCAAACTCAAAAGCGGCCACCATCCGCGCGACGTCCATTCGAGAGGTGGCCATGTTGCAAGCGCGTGAAGTCGCTTGCAACCTAGCCCCGCAGCTGACTTGAAACTTTTTCTCACTTCAACCGAGCCAAGTCACCTTCAAGTCGTCCGCAAGTTCGAGAACGGTTTATGGTGACCGGCAAGACTGTCTTGAGTCAAGAACGAGTCAAGTACGAGTCAAGTAACATCTCTGCGTTCGGGGGTTAGTGTCCCTTTAAGGAGCGACGTAAAAACAGGATCATTCCTTGCTGTATGTCACTCCCTCCATCTTGGTGTTTGCACCCGCTAGAAGGGCAGGTGGCACTCAGTAGAAATTTAGCATTTTTTTGCAACACGTAGCGTTGAAAATTTTAACAGGTATCCATTACGCTTGCCCAGTGCATCCATTACGCTTGTCAGCTCGAAATGCCCAAACCTAGAGAGGGGCCCTCTAAGGTGTTCACTGACAGGGGAGAAATTGGTCCTACGTGACTATACCTAGCATTACTCTCTTCTGAATTATCAGTGGTCTGGGTGTTTGCTCTTGCGCTGCCCTTATTAGCCACGATGAAATGAAAGAAACCCAGGAGAGTGGTGATTGGATGGTGGACACTTGACTCACAATGCTGGACAATAAAACAAAAGTCCGTAATCTGCAAATTGCACGGAAAATGCACGCCTATGTTCAATCGTTGTTGCTGTTGCCTTTGAGCTACCTTAAACAATATCTTTTTCTTTTGCTTCTTGTCGTAGATACAAGTCACTGAGACCTTTGTTTTAAATTATTTCTATTTTTGTAGAAATTTATTGTGCCTATATTTATGATTTCGAAGGCCTAGAACGGTGTTTTACCTGCCTGTCTTTGGCGCCTAAAACACACCTTTTTAGAGCCTAGAAATCCGGCCTCTAATGATGACGATACCATGAAAACGAGTGAGTGCTACTGAACACAGCACTTATGCTTATTTTCTGGGGAACAAACAGTGATTTTTGTGGGTCCATCAAATAGTACTTTTTTATGTTGCAATAGAGTATAGACAGCCTTCTCTATTGGATGGTAGTTGTGGCTTCCTAGTGATACACTCAAACCTCGTAATAATGTAACGGGATATAACGAAATGGTTATAATGAAGTAAATGAAATTCCCCTTGAAAGCTCCATTGAGAACCATGCATTTAAAATTTCGTTGTAACAAAGTAAAATTGATCGGTAATTGGATATAACAAACTAAATTAGTCTATCAAAAAGTCTATAAAAAAAACCCAACCGTTGCGTGTTAAGTAAATTGTTTTCTGCTGAGCTTGACGCTCGTTTAGCGCGGCTTTTTCAAAACTCCCACGCCAACCTTACAGCCACGCCACGCGCGGTGGAGAGCGCCATCCTCTTCGCACAACCAGCAGAGGGGATTGAGGAAGCGCTCAGCGAGTCACATCACCGAAAAGCGGCACTGCAGTGCAAAGCGATTTCCCTCTCACTGAAGAACACACGATGGAACTTCAGAAGACTTACATTTATCCACAAATCAGAGGACATCCGTCATTAATTGATGTAGTCAGTGATGCGCGTCTGCACACGTTTGCCTTGCAGCGAGTCAATCAATTTCGCACACAGTTTGCAAAGCATAGTAGCGCGCGGCCAAGTCCAGCGCCAACGCTCTCTAAAGATGACGGCAACGACTGCGTCGCCGCTGCTACTCTCTGCACCGAGAAAGGAGGAGCGTCTCCACGCAAAGAGAGGCAGATTGGCATTAGAAAGAGAGCCAACTCTCCATGACAGCTTTCTCTTTTTTCTTCCTCTCTCTCTGTGCACGGCCTTGAAAGGAGAAAGATCTCTACGTGTAGAGACGAAAAAGGGAGAAGCGTGGCACAGGCAGGTCGCAGATCGGCATTTGAAACAGAGCAAACAATGCGCCACAGTCCTTTCTTTCCTTTTCTTCTTTTCCTTCTTAGCGCGTAGAGTCGAGAGGTGCCGCCGCGGGATTGGGCATGGTGCTGAGAACATTTTCGGAGCGCAGTATGTTCGAATTAACCATCGCAAGTGCTCGCGCGTCCGAATTATACGGCGTTTTCGCCCATTAGAATACACATAGCTTTGACGGAACCACAGCGCGATTTCGAATTAACCGGAAGTTCGAATTAAGCGTGTTCGAATTCATGAGATTCGACTGTGTTTATTTTTCGTCGCACGCGTGGTCGTTTTGCGGTACATCAGGCTGCGAGGTGGTTTCCTTCTATGCATGTTTATAGGTGTGCACCCATCTGAGCATACATTGCCACAAACTGTTATAATCGATATAACAAAATAATAAATATAACGAAACAATTGTGGTTCCCCTGCAACTTTATTATAACAAGGTTTGAGTGTATTCTAATTCCAAGTGAGGCCAGAAGCATATGTGTTTCATCTCGTTGCCCCTAGCTGGTGCTTAAAGCAGCCACTGGAAAGCACTGGCCATGCAATCATGTGTTCCTTTTCATAAAGAACCACCCTGTACATGCAGGTGGGCACATATATTTACCTATGAAAACAACTGAAGCACTACAGTACACATCAAATGCCAACAGGTAACAGACGATGAAGTCCCTCTGGACTCTCAGGACATTGGATTGCAGTCACACAGCAGCATTAAAAGATCTTTAGAGGATCTATGCAGCACCTTGCTTCATGAGAGGCACTATTGTAGCAGCTTAGATTTAGCTTTGCAGTTGACAGCTGCACCTAAGACTAACAAAACAAAACATCAGAAGAAGTGATGGCGAGGTGGCCGGTGGCGATGAACGTGCCATTTTGACTCATCTCCGGCAAGCTTATCACAGTCATCTGCAGATAGCTGCTCAGTGGAATAAAGACAGTACAAGCACGTCATGCTGCCGTTCATAAGTTCACCACTGCCACGTCATGCAAGGCCACCTGCGCGCATTACAAGCAAAACTTTTCATTCGGTTAAACGTACAGACTACACGGCACACCCGAGCACGATCGCTAGTGAGCTTCATCGATTTACCAAGTCTCGGATCACACGCGGACGGCCCGCAGACGCCTCGGCTCACAGGTGGCTACGTCACATGCACGTTATCTAAATGTCCTGAGCCAGCCAGAGCGGCCTCGGGCCATCTGCGCGCTTGATGCTGACTGCATCCGCTGTGGCGTCTGCTATGCCTGGCAATGCTGTCTGCTCCCTCCATAGCTGTGACACAGGCCACAACGCTGACCCAGTTCCAACCTAAACAGCAGTTAGGTAGTGAATAATACCTATTTCTGTAGTGATGCAACTTACTGCAAGTGAACTACTCGAGGGCGTGTGCATCGTAGACCGGCCCGGTCGTTCTACCGCTGTTTCTCCTAGCGAGCATAACGCGTGTTTGCCCGACCTTCGGGAATATGCACATGCTCGACGTGGCTCAGAACATCGATGACAAGAACTGGGTGCGCTAACAATCCGAAATCCAGAAACATGCGAGAAGCGGACATAAAAGTAAAGAGAGAGCAAGAGCGCATCGAAAAGTTCCCGTGTCTAACTTAAGATGGCCGCACAGCATGCGCATCGCGCTGTCGTCTGCCAGCGGCCCGAAAGAAATTGTTCGGGCGGTCCCGGGCCGCCCGCAGGCCGCCAGGCACGCGAAAAACGAACATGCGTCCGAGTGATCCAGGACCAGTGGGCGGAGCTTCCAGTTGGTCCCAGAGAAAAACGAATGCGGCGCCGGAGTCCGGGGCCGTCCGGGACGTGTAAATCGATGAAGCTCAGTGAAGCATGCGCAAAGAAGGCACAAACGTGTGCATACATTGGACTGCGCAAGCGAACTGCATGCGACGGTGAGAGCCGAGTAAACGATATGCTGCACGCAACTAGCCAGGGATGACTGGTTTGATGTGACAGTACCGTACTTCAGTGGAACACCGTGAGTTTATTGCGAACGTGGTTGAATTCATTCGTGAGCAAACGATCATTGTTTGTGAAAACACGCGAAAAGGCCCAACTTATCAGTAGTTGCACTTATGAATGACAATGCACATAAAATAAAGAAAGAAAAAAGGTGTGGCCACTAAGCGGACATTTTTATGGGCGGGTTCACATAGTACAATGAACTACTAACATAATGACCATTTATCGCAGCACTTTTGAGTTCGTTATAATAAGTTTGACTGTACTATACGTTTACACGAAGTGAATCTGCAATGATCTCAACACACATGCACCTAGCTTTGTATGAACAATGGTGGATCAGTGGTGAGACTATGCGAGGGGGCTCAATTATTGATTATCAATTGTCAATCAATTTATAAATGCAATTCAAAAGTTCTAGGCATATCAAGGCCTCTTATACATTCAACAAACCACTGTGTTATTAATTAATACAAATTTGACGCTAAAGATCAACTGCAATCAAGCATATTGACATGCGAGGCTTTCGGTCAACTTGTAACGCATGGCAGCTGTTGATTATAAATGGAGCGAACCACTCTTTTACAACGGCATGAAAACCTTCAGCCACATGTACATACCTTGTTTTTCTTGCGTCGTCTCAAGAAGTGCCTTGGATTCCTCCACGCTGCCTTCCATGGCAATCTCAAAGCAATCACCTGCCAGACAAACCACGGCATGATGATTAGAAAAAAAGAAAGAAAAAAGAAAGATTTATGAGCCATTCCACTCTGTGAAGATGGGTAATCAGCGAAGTTGCAGATGAAAAAATCTTGAATATAGGGATGTGCTGAGGCCAATGTTTCTGCAAGATGTCCTGTCTTCTTCAAGGCAGTTCGAACCCTCAAGAAAGACAAGCACGCGTGTTGAAACGCTGGCGCCAACAACAAGCTATATTCAAGAATAATCCTCTCTTCTAGCTTTCATGTTCCCGTAAATTCCTGCGTTACGGCAGAGTTGTGTAACATAAGGGATAGAGGCAACACATCATTACGTACGACGAAAAATAGAGAAAGAGAAAGAAAATGATTAAGCGTATTCTCTACTTACACCTCTTCTTTTTTTTTCGTAGGAAGATATACTCAGTACTGACACACATACCTGTTTATATTCATCATTATTGGGTTTCACCCGCTAAAGCTTTAAAACATGTGCTTCGCGCAATCTGCAGTTTGGTGTGTTGAAACTTGTGCTTGGGTGGTCGCTGTATTCTTCACTATCACAACATACGGCCCCTGTCAGCTACCACATCAAGCCTCCTGCACACCTATACCAGTCAGTGACAAGGCTGTCCTATCTGTTAACGACGATGAATTCCAATCCAATAGTGTGGTCAGAAAAAGTGTATCTGCTGGTTTTAGAGCAAGTTTGTACAATGACAGCTTGAGAGAGGGAGCCATGTGCTCTAATGACACAAACGAAGTAGATTAAGAGCAGCAATCAACCAGTCTGTGGAGAGAGGAAGAAAAATTGCTGCACCAAAATCAGTGGGGTTGACCATGACTCTGCATAACACACTTCCTAACACATTTACATGCTCGGGGGAGTCATTGCTAGTTGCAAGTTTAGGTGGTAATAGTGGTCGGCACGGAAGGCGCGCGAAAGCAGGTGGCCTTCCTTCTACTGTGCTCGACAGCGAGAGATGACAGACGGAAAGCTCAAGTCCCTGCATTCACTGGATATGGACAGTGATGCTGAAACTGCTGCATACTAAAGAGAATTTGACATGACAATCGAATAACAATAAAGTATTATAGGATGCTTGGTAACCTACAAATAGAACTTCCGCTTCTGCCTTGCTCTAGTGGTTAGAGTTGTGTTCCAATACAATAAAGGATTCGGAGGTGTTACTCTTCAACAGAGTCGAGTAGTGCTCACTCGCGAATATATCGGCTGCTCCGACCAACTCAGCCACTGGAATTGAACGTAACAACACAGCAGCTGAGTGACAATGGCTGCGTCAAGTGGGATCCTCACCGTAGGCATGCTGGTAGGCGGCGGCCTGCACGTACAGCACGTACAGGGGCCTCGACAGGTACTGGGCGTTAGCATGCTCCCCCTGATGGGCTTGCAGAGGCAGGCCAAGGTCAGCCTGCAGGGGTTGTGCTGCCTCCAGCACTGCCTGCAGTGTCGGCTGGATGCCAGACAGGCACTCGCGCTTGCGCTCGATCTCGCGCACGTACTGCTCACGCAAGGACTCCAGGCCCTTCAGCTTCTGGGACAGCCTGGGCAACAAAAGGCACGGTGTTGCTGATTTTGTTCCAGAAGACACGGATCTCATTTGCAATTTCGTTCCAGAAGGCATGGTGTTCCTGATTTTGCAGTGGCAAAACATGCCTACCACATGTCTCAACTAGGCATGCACCATGGGCAACTCCAATGGACCTTTTTCAAAATTCGCAAGTATGCAAGTAATGGCAGCACCAGTCGTGCTTTAAGCGGGGACGCAGTCATAGTTGAACGTGCTGGGGCTTGTCTATCATTAGTGTTTATACCAAGAGAAGCGGCTCAACGTTTTCTGCATCATTGCGTAAGCATACCGTGCTTGAACAGGCTATTTGCATGAAGTGACAAGCTGCCATTAGTTGTTCTAACTGCATAGCAGGAAAGCTAGTTTTACATATTTGAAAAGAGTCTACCCCTAGGGTGAAAGAGAGAGAAGCTTTGCTTGGATCAAAACATCAAAGGCTACTTAGCGTTGGATCATAACGGATGAAAGGTAACAGATGAAATAAAATAAAATAGTTATTGTAACGTGGAGCACAATTGTAAGCATGAACACTGCGGGCGACAGGTTCAAGTGACAGGTTGAGATTGATGAAGTCGAGGTCTAAACCGAGTGTGGGACCACTACTTCAATGAAAGTCATCAACCACAATAAAAGTACTTCCCATGTGCTCAAAGTCGGACTTACTCTTTTCTCTGTACAAGCTCCCATTGAAGCCTTGCCAGGGTCAGCTGGTGTGGGTCAGCATCGGTCAGGTCCTGGAAGTCAACGAAGCAAGACAAAAACTATTTCACAGAATCGCAAATGTGATTTTCACATTTGCATTTGTGGGTTTGTTAGAAATGACACCTGGCAGTGATTTCTCAAGGGCAATCTCCAAAGCTCAGATACACCAAGGAATTGCTCTTCAACAATTTTTTTGCCGTGCACAGTTTTGAATGAAAATAAAATTAAGAATTGAATTAAGAGAGCTACAGCTATAAGTTGAAAACCAAACAGTGTGCTTTACGTTTTTAACTTTTTCTGCTCATTTTACAGCAACATAGCGACGACACTAATCGTAGACAACTTGCAAGCACACAAGACAGTCGATGAATGGGCACAGTGAAGCTAGGCTACAAAATGAAATTGTATCAGACTTGGAGAAAATGAAAAACCATGATTATGGTTATGCAATAGAGGTGCGTTTGTTTAACTGAAAAAGGGCATCCAGTCAATTTCAAATGCTCGTTATCAGCTGCTTGCAATGTAGGCCAAATGAACAGGAACCATGCTAAATTAGATGTCAATGCACTATCATTTGAGAGATGTGATCACCTAAGACAGAGTTTGCTTGCAAGGTGTAGTCCGGCCATGTCAAGCCAATGACATGTATGTGCACACCAATACTTATTGCTCTATCGAAAATTGCTCGTCATTTTTAGACAGGAAGGAGTCTTCATACATACCTGAACTCTGCCACTGTGACCAACAGTATGACCCTGCTAGTGAATTTTGACTGTAGTGCCAATGAAACAACTATAAACACCTTGACAAGCTTCCCACAATGCTTTATTGTAAGGATGAGTGAATAGTAAATTTGTGGTTTCGAGTGAGTTTGAACCAAACAATGTTTGGTCAAATAATATCCAATTCAATAGTTTAAATAGTACATATCATATACTATATAAAAAAAAAATGCGTATTTTGGTCATGACCAAACCTACTTGTACAATGTATTTAACAATCAAAATCAGGCTTGAGTGAACATCACTTTCTCAGTTCAAAGAAGCAACCCTGAATACTAGTTGAAGAATTTGAAGAGTAGAAGGATGTAAATTATAATAGACAAAATACATTAGGCTTTGGAATATGATATACTTAGTTGTCTAAATATGTTTTTAAATGTTTAAAAAAAGATTGGTCGGGGTGCAGGTTAAAACTATAATGAACTTTGAGCTGCAAGTTTGTGGAAAAACACTATTCTCAACATGTGCTTTTGGAGCACAGCAGCCTCACGCTGCAACCTTTACAAGAAGTTGCCCTAGAAGAGATGGGTCTATTCATTTGTTTTGAATACTTCATAATCTTAGAAATCAAACAGATTTTGAAACGAATGCAGGGAGTGTAAAATTGAAAATTCCTTCGAATATTCAAACCGCTTGAGCGTTCACCCATGCCTACTTCGTTGTCGTTGTAAGAAATCCTCTCAAATTCTTCTGATAAGACTGTCTATTACTTTTCACTGCATTATTTGTTCTATTCCGATACATTCGAACCCCGCTGCAACGAATGCCGGTTCAACGAAATTTCCGCTACAACGAAAAATTTATGCTTTCCCATCAGCAGTCCATATGAGTCAATGCATAAATATTGTCGCCACAACGAACACTTTTTCTTCTGCCCTCCTGCTTCAACGAAATTTCACGATGCAATTCAAGGCTCAGATATTTATTGCTATACAGCAAACTCAATCTTTAACATTTTCATGCATTTTCAGAACCTGAAAATATGTCGAGGAAGTCTAAAATACGCGTTGGCACCACCAGAAACCACCTCTGTTCAACAAGCATGAGCGCTGCCATTTCTCGATAGCAATGGCAATAAGACTGCCCGGCTTTTGCACTGGCTTGCTTCTAGCCGCAGACGATCTAAAGCTGAAGCTCAGTTCGTGGTTTCCTTCACGCAGCTGCTGCGTGCAACTGCAGGAACGATGCCCTTTAATATCTTAATGCTTATCATTTTATTCGCGCTTGGCCAGTGTGGTACCTAATCAGAGCAGTTGTTCATCCGCATTATCAACAAAATCAGCTAGCTGCGAATGATGGATGATAAGATTGGCATGAATAAGGCAGAAGTCACCGCTCCACGATACCTCGTCCTCCCTCTTGGCGTTGTCAGATACACTTTGGTGGCGGACAGCTGCTGGTGTTGACATGATATTGCAACTGATTGGTACGTTCACGAAAGCAGTCGTAGGCATTGTTTCAGCGTGCTTTTCACCATGGCCTCGCTATGCATGACTGAGAATCGCATCGTGACGCTGCTGGAAAAGAATAGAAAGCAGCGGACACTCTTTGAATTTTGAGAATAAACCCTGCTTTGTTTTGCTAGCTCAGATCAGCTATATTTTTTCGATTTCACTACAATGAAATTTTCGCTTCAACAAAGTATTTTCCGCACCCCATAAGTTTCGTTGTAGCGGGGTTTAACTGTATCAATTCTATGGACACTCTCGGCTGGATTTCGCCGCTAGCGTTGGCGTCGACATGGGCACCGGCGCTGATGACATGCACCATATATTAAACGTATCTATATATATATGAAAACGTAAGAACCCAAAAAATCCACGAAAAAGACTACAGAGCGCGGAATCGAACATGGGACCTCCGCGTGGTGAAGGCGTGGCGTTAACCATTGAGCCACCGAGAGGTACTTCCTTCAACGTTCAAACGGCAAGCTATTCATATCTACCACTTACCGCTGTTGGCGGACATCTCGGGGGAGAACTATCGTGTTTTCAGCATTATCAGCAAGATGGCGCAGTGAGCGCGCGGCTGCTCTCATCATCTAGCACGCGTATTTTGGTCCGTGTAGAGAATGAGGATGTGCACACTCGATCGCGCGCCCTTATTTTACAGTGGGGAGAATCGTACGTCTTGGCTAGCCTTTGTGTTTTGTTGGAAAGATTCTGTTATCTGCAATCGTTGCACAGCCTTCGTTTGCGAAAAGGGCGCGCTTTTCAGACACAGCGAAGTAACAATTGAGACGCTTATTCGCGTTCATCTGTACTTGTGAATATGCTTCGTGCGTCATTTGTGCGCGAGAAACGCGGGGCAGGTTTCGATTCGCTTGCCATTCTGCGCGTGACCTCCCAATTTTTGTTGCTATCGCGTTCATTGCTTCGCCTTTGCGGCAAGGCCGTGACTTTTTATTTGACCAAAAGGCAAGGACAAATTAATGTGCCTGCACATTGTCTCACCCTCTTGAGAACCTCAGCTGGTGCCTCCCTGCGAAACTCCTCCACCGGTACCAGGTCGATCTCCTCGTCCCTGGACCTTCAAGTGAAAACAGATAAAAGTTGCCTACCCAGACACATCTACAGTCATATTTCGTACACAGCTTCACGAAAATAGCCAGAGAAAAAACAAACGACTCGCATCTAGGTTCGAAACGAGATACATACACACACCGTATGCCGGAAGTTTCCTGGAAAGGTCAAAGCACTGAAAGCGATGGCAGGGCTGTGTTCTAGTCATGGCCAGCAGCCTAGTGTTGCATATGTGCGATATTGCGGTAGAAGCAACAAGAAAGGGAACTCGTGCTGGGCACAAAAAGCAAAGACGTCATACAAAGTAACCAGTTGTTTCAGAACATTTGCATGACGAGCACCGCCAGTGGCAAAGTAAATGCCTCCTCTCCCATCCCTTGACTAGGGGAGCAGCCAGCGTTAGCCAAGCACGAGTGGGAAGTGGGCGGAGCAGAGGCATAGCCAGGGAGTGGCACACTAGAATCGTGCCCCCCCCCCTTCCCCCATCCCAAATTTTTTTTCGCTATGGCATAGAGAGCAACAAATGGCCCTACCGAAATCAAGGTGGTGCCTCCCCCAAAAAACATTTCTGGCTACGTGCCTGGATCGGGGGGTTCAAAGCATTCCCCGAAATTTCACATTTTGTGTGTGTATGTATACAGACATACAAACACAAGCATGAACATATAGAAATTAAGGCTTGTATTTCACTTTCCAAAGAAAAAAAATGGTTACAGGCTATGCCCTTGGTAGTCGGGTGTATATTGCCAGTTGTCAATATTTCAGTTCTCGGTTGCGAACATTGTTACTGGGAAGTTATACAAAACAGAACACAATGAACAAGGGCGTCGGCGGGAGTTTGCCTTGGAGAATGCAAACTCGCGTTGCACTGTGGCTTGGGGGAGGAGGAGAGCGCTGGTGCACTTCGTGTGGCGGGGAGGGGGGGAGGGCACGTTTTGATGCAGCTCGAGGGGGCAAAGTGCCCCTTTCGCACCACCTTGCCAATGCCGATGGCACTAAAGTTCTACTGAATACTGGAGACAAGCTCTCGTAATGCAATACACAAAACAGTTCCAATAAACGTCTCACCTGAATTCCATGCACTTGGTCACCTCTTTTTGCAGGTGCATCACCTCGTATGTCAGGTTCTGCAGTTGGAGGTGGAAGTTGTCCACTTTCTGCTTCTTCTGCGATTGAAAATGAGTGTCAAAGTTTTGTAAAAGCATTGATGCTCACAAAGTGGTACATGGACGGACTCGACCATTATTGCACTTAATGTTAATGTTATTGACGTGGCACCCAGATGAACGTTACTTTCAAGACTGCAGCCTGATGAAAGGCCACATTCACTGTGGTTGATTTCCTGAGAACAGAACACAAGCATCAAGGCACAACTAATGCAGCTCTAATAGCCAGAATGAAAGGCTAAAGCACACATACAGACAGACACGAAAAAAGACAAGCACTGATGATCAGCGCTTGTCTTGTGTATATACCTCGGTCGTTCGCGTCTGTACACTCAAACCTCATTATTATAAAGTCACACATGCTTTGTTATAACCAAAAATTCATTATAACTGATTATTTGTAACATGGTAATTATGATAAAAGCTACTGTTTATTATAGTAATTCGTTATATCAAGTTTTGAGTATGTGCACTGTAGCCTTTCATGATACATTATCAACTAGTCTATCAAGCCATCCTCGTGATCTAACGATTAGACTTGTGCAAACATTCGCGCACTTAGAATATTTGAATGAATAATAATTTGTCTTGATTCCAATTTAAGTTATGAGAAATAGCGACGCATTCAAAATGAACAAATAGGTGTATATCAGTCTACCTGTAGCCGCCCTGTTAAGGTGGTTTCACTGAAATAGAAAAGTGCCACACTTCAAACACACCTTTACAAAAAAATATCTGCACTAGCAAGAAGCCCCACTTCGAGGTTATTGAACAGAATACCCTCACATTGATTCTTCTTCTCTGAAGTTTAAAAGCTTGTTATACTGGATTATATGCTTTAAGTGTTGTAAATTTTAAAATGCAATGTATTTTACAGGTTATCGCTCACACTCTACCGGAAGTCAAATCCTGCTAATATTCAGCTGTTCCCACTTTCTTTAAACAAATAAAAAATGACATCTGCGCATGCCTTGTTTCAATTGAAAAAAAATTTTGCACAGGTTAGTTGGGTAATAACAAGTATGTTAAATTTTTTTATATATAAGATATACCCTTCAAATTGGATTTCCAACTACTCAAAGCAAATCACTATTCGCATCGAACTAGCTTTAAACAGAAAATTTACAACTGGCGCAAGTCTACTAATGGCACACGATTTCACTGAGGCAAAGTGTGAGATATTTATAGCAAGAGTTTTGCCGGAGAGAAGCAAAGTGGTGGCACCTGTTCACTGGTTGTCTGCCCCCCCTCCACATGGGTAATCTGACATGACTTTTGGTATGTGTTGTCACAGGTGATGAACACCAGACAGACAGTCACATTTTGCTTTTAAATATCCATTTAATGCATTTGATTTTAGAAAATGTGGTCATCACATCGACAAAAATGAACATATTTACCTTATCAGAGTACATACAAAAACGCTGCTTTTAGAAACAAATCGTGCATTATGAGTTTAAAAATAGGTTCTCACGTTTTATCATTATCAACATTTATTAACCCTTAAAGGCCTCTGTTGGGGTATTACATAAGGGGAAGCATACACAAGAGAAAAGGATGTTCAAACAGCCATTAACAAAGAAAAAAAATTGAATTTATAGAGAAGCAATCAAAATACACGTGAAGGACAATGCGCTAAAAAAATGGAATACAAATACACAGGCATCAGCACTCAATAAACTTGTTAGTACGTTTTGAAATTTGATGGGGTCACGTACAATCACAACACGGTCAGATAAACTATTCCATTCTACAATGGCTGATGGCAAGAAAGAGTTGTTGAATGAATTGGTAGAGCCGTCAATTCTTAGAAGACTGAGGGAGTTTGACAGGTGGTGTGAAGTGCGGTTTGGCGGGAAAATAAACATGTCACAAAAGTGTGTAAAGTTGTAATAGAGCTTATGAAAGAGGCATAAGCGAGATAATTTTCTGCGAAGTGCTAACGATTTATTATTCAAGGATAATTTTATATTTGTGAAACTTAGCCAATGGTGATACTGGGATGTAATAATGGCTGCGCAGTTTTGGACAGCTTCATAAGTAGGTTAAAAAGGTACGCTTGATGTGGGTTCCATATTGCCGATGAAAATTCCAGTTTAGTGTGGATAAATGTATCGTATGCCAGTTTTTGAATCACAGGTGGTGATGATGACAGTGACCGTCTAATGAATCCTAGAGATTTGTTAGTTGTGGCTACCGGATAATTGATATGTTCAGGCCATTTAAGCTTGCTTATGATGGTAACCCCGAGGTACCTGTATGAAACAACCAGCTCTATAGGAAGAGAATGCAAAGAGTAGGAGGAGGGTATGAGAGAGTGTTTGCGGGATACGTGCATGTATTTACGTTTTTTGACGTTTAGTTGCATGAGCCACTGAGTGCAACATTTTTCAATTGTAGTGAGGTCTTGTTGTAAAAGCACCTGGTCATCACAAGAGGTAACACGGTGGTACAGGACGCAATCATCGACAAAGAGCCGGACGAATGATGTAATACCGGTGGGCAGGTCGTTGATGAAAACGAAAAACGAAAGGGGTCTCAGGACTGAACCTTGCAGTACTCCTGTTAATACTTCGGTGACTGTCGACTGATGGTGCTCGATGATTGTGAACTGCGATCTGCCAATTAGGAAACAACCGATCCATCACCTGATTAGTGGATGGATGCATAAGCTGTTTACTTTGACCCCTAGTCGCAGATGAGGTATGCAGTCGAAGTCTTTAGAAAAATCTAGGTAAATGACATCTGTTCGAAGGAGAGAATCAAGGGTCAAATGAACGTCGGTGGTGAATTAAAATAGTTGGCTTTCACAGGAGCATCCTTGGCGGAAGCGATGCTGATTACTGCAAACCAACTTGAACCACAAGCACAATAAACCCTCTTCAAAACTCTCGAGTGTGCTTCTCTGCACTGCATATTTGAATAAAGAATGATGGCACCTGTCTTGCTTCGAGCGGACACGCTGTCCTAGTTTTGACATACTGGGGCTTTTCTATTATGAGTGTTTATATCAAGAGAGGTGAGTCAAAATTTTCCACGTGATTGCAAAAGCAAAGCGCGCTTGAACAGGCTATTTGGACAAAACGACAAGCTGCTATTCCTGCATAGCAGAAAAGCTAATTTTACAATTTTAAAAAGGGTCTATCATAACCTTGAAGTGTCTTCATGTCTTGTTCAGAAATAGACAGAATGTCTGTTTTTCGTTAAGTACACTTCTAGCAGAGCCACTTTCTCTACAGCCCATTAAAAAAAATGTGCTTAACATTAGTGCACTCTTCTCAGATCACACAGCAGCAACCCAGTAGGGCTTTGTGCTATTTTGCCATACCATACTCCATGATCTCTTTGTCTTTAGGCATAGCAATGCCTTCCATGCAGTGCTGTTCCACAGTCAGATTAAGATGACATTGAGTGTGCCAATCTAGCTCATTTTTAAAAAATTACACCACCTCCCACTAAAGGGAACCATGTAGACATGTGTAAATGCGAAGCAGCGGGTGCCAAGGCTTACACTGGTGGTGGTGTTGACGCGGGCGCTCAAAGCATGCAGCGATGAATTGGCGTTTCCTACTGAAACATGCCAACCACTGCTAATAGGCAATGACAGACAGAAGATTCTGATTGGATGCAGAGACCTGCAGTCGGCTTTTAGCCAACGTACACGATGCGAATTTTTACTGTTCAACGTCGCACAAGAGAAATCTCCCACCGGCACTACCTTAAAGATCAAGATACAGTGCCTATATACCGTAATTACTCGCGTAATCCTCGCACTCGCATAATTCTCGCAGCCCCCACATCGCCCAACAATAATGCGATTTCTTTTTTCCCTCGAGTAATCATCGCACCCCCCAAAATTGCAGCAATAATGTCGTCTGCTCGTTCCAGCCATTGATGATGACAACGCACACCATCTGACGCCATCTCTTAAGCATCAAGCGTACTATTATTGCATGGGGATTCAATCCAATCGAAGCCAAGCCAGAGTGGCAAGTGCGCGTCACGGCGTGTTTTGTATGTTGTGTCGGCAATCTTGTCACGTTACGGGGCAATACTGAAACTACACGGTTGCTTTCAAGTTGAAAGTGATTGATCATGCACTAAACAACGGCAACAGGGCCACTGGTAGGCCCTTCGGAGTCGACTATTTTTGTGATCGCTACTAGTGACGGCAGCTGAAAGCCACCAAGACGCGTTGGGCCTGCCGTGTGCCTAAGACTGGGATTGATGGTAAAGAAGGAAACTGCCGACAATTCTAGAATCGTTAAATAGCCATCAGCCCAATACTGACGTCCTGTGCTTACCGTTTGAGGACTCTTGTTCAGCGATGAACGCTATCGCTATGTCCGTAACGCCCACAGGCTTTGCGTATGGTATTCTAATTCCCGACTATTAGCTTGCACTTTCTATGTCTCAAATAAATCTCTCCTTGTGTTGAATTAGTGCTTTTATTGTTGAAGTAAGTTATAATTACTCCTTCTCAAAGCTTGCTGTTAGTTGCTGATGTGAGAATTACGATTTGTGGCCAATTTGTTTTCTTTTTCGCCCTGTACGTTTTCGTGAAAAGTTTTCCTCGCGTAATTCTCGCACCCCCCAACTTTGCATCGGTTTTCCGCCAAAAAAAGTGCAAGGATTATGCGAGTGAATACGGTATGCGGAGTGGCCAGTGAATGGTTGTGCAGCGCGAGCAGTTGCTTTTTTCAATCAATAAACTCGCTAGCAGATGCTGCCTGCGTCGGCATTGCGAGGCAAGAGAGGGAGTGGAGCGCGGACGCTACATCATCAAGCTCGCTCATAAGATCCTTCGAATCTAATAATCCAAGACAAACACAGAAGCTTGGAGAGGGGAGTGCTCTCCATTACCGCAACTAAGCTACTCTGACTAGCGAAGGTACTACAAGCCTTTTTTGGCCACCAAAGCACACAACACAAAGTAGCCATTCAACACAGATATTTAAACCAGCACATCGTAGGCCAATGCCATTAAGATCCAAATGAGGAATAAATTACCTCGTTGACAGCATCCTTTGCCACTTTGAGCCGATGTTTGTCTAGGCGGTTGATTTTCTTCAGTCCCAAAAACAGCAAGGATGTCTCACTCGAAGCTTTTCAATGTCAGCCTGTCGAGAAGAATGAGAGAACGACACAAAGTTACCATAGAAACATAACACACAGATTAAAACAATACGCCAGCACCAGTGGACACAGTAACAGTTCTGACATGACACAAAGTTCAATAAGTTGCTGTACCGCAGGTTACTTGGAATTGCTTTGAAAACGCAAGGAGCTTTGCCCAATAAGGCTACGTTGGGCAAAGCCTTGTCAAACAATTTCGTCAAATAGGGATCCATTACTTTTAGTAATTTATCGGTAGACCTGAAGTTGTGCTAATGCAGGATGACAGATGTTTTCCCTTGCTTATAATGTAGGCTAAAGTACACATTATTGGCTAGTTGGTGTTTGCTTAAAGAGGCCCAGCAACACTCTCTGACTTTTTAAAAAAGCAGGATCAGAAAACGCTGTCCGATCGGCAGTCGAGGCTACCGAGAATACACGAGCCATATTTTACAGCACAGCACACGGCTGGACTTCACAATAAATTCCCAATGAGAGCTAAAAACCAGCTTTCTTTAATCTTGACCAATGATGCGACAGGCTAAAAAATCGGCATGTGTCGGGCCTAGTATCAGCCATTGGCTGATTTGAGCATGCTGGGGCCACCATGGGAGGCAGCGACTTATCTACATGTGAACAGTGCAATCACACTGCAAAGTTGGGCATTTGAAGAAAATGAAAAAAGAAAAAGTGCTCCAGGCCCTGAGGCATGCGTGACATATTTTTTTTTCCTGTACCATCCCTTCCTGCTTAGCTTCCAGCATTTTTGTCGAGGCGGGAGAAAATAGAATGCAAGTGCTGCGTGCAAAGCATATGACATTCATATGTCATTCTCCGCAAAATCTACAAGCGCCCCCTCGACCTTCCTGTCAGCACCTCTAACCAGCGCCTTTTGGGCTTGGGAATGGTGAACACTTTCAAGGAGCTGAGAGAGGCGCACTTGACAAACCAATATACTAGACTCTCTAAAACACCGTCGGGTCGCCGCCTCCTTGCCCGGCTACACATCAATCATTCAATACACACGGAAGAGCGCGTACGGATTCTAGAAGTTTGGCGATACTCCTCGCACGTGCGCCCTCTTCCGGCTAACATTAGCTGCTGTGCTTTAAAATTTTGCACAGCAGCTACCTAGGTGCCCCCGCGCACCGAACGATCATATGGGCTCCGGCTCACGCGGGCCTCGATGGTAATGAGACGGCCGATGCCGCCGCCCGCGCGCTCGCTCTCCGGGCACCATCCTCGTCCCCTACCGATCCGGAACTCGAACCCAATCCCGCCTACACCTTTGAGGAGGTCACACAATTTTATCAATCCGGCCATAACGTCCATCCGAAACCCTGTAAAGGCCTCACGAAGGCGGAGGAGCGAATTCTCCTTCACCTTTATACTAAAACTCTATTGTGCCCGGCAATCATAAAACACTTTGACCCCGCTTGCACGGGGAAGTGCCCGCATTGTGAGGAAAATTCCTCTGACATTTTCCACATGGTGTGGGCATGCCAAAAAACCCCAAACCTTACCCCACTACCCAACCCTTCGCGGGAGGACTGGGAGGCAGCCCTGCTCGGCTGCTTTGACCTGACAGCCCAACGGGCCTTGGTCGAGCGTGCCCGGGCCGCGGCCAACGCCAATGGGCTCCCGTAAGAGGGAGCTCACCTAGTGTTTGTACGGGGCGGCCCCTTAAGGACCGTTCCCACCCTCCCTGTAAATAACATCTGTAAATAAATGTTTTTCAGTCAGTCAGGTCAGTGAAGCAATAACCTACTTTAGTGATCTTTTTTTTTTTTTTTTTTTTGGCTGTTTAGAAAAGTGTTGCAGGCCCCTTTAAGTAAAACTGTAGCAGTGCTCAGATAAAACTACCAAAAAGATTCATACACAAACCGGAGGTGCAAACAACCACAGGTGCAATTAAATAATTACTATCCATTAGAGGTAGTAAAGATACACATGGTGATCTCCATGGTATTAAGATCACAAGTGCAATGAATCATTAGAAAGGCTTTGAATGCCCAAGCTTCGTGATACACAGCCCAAAATAAGTATGACCAGCAGATGAAAGCCACTTCTTTTTATACTTGACAGTAAACAGCCAATAGACTTTTTTTTCATCTGTTTCATGATAGAAAAACAGAGACAGATTTTAATTATAGCCTGTAGGCGGACTTGCTGCTTTGCATAACAAATTTAGTATATGTTTTGGTGGTTTAAAACCAGTCTCCAACACATTTACCAGTGAGATGCATCTTCCCTTCCGTCGTATCATAAAGTTACGAATGAATTCATGGAACATGTTTCACAGAACAACACATTTGAAAGGGTTCCCGGACACATTAGCCAAGGAATCAGGATGTTTGAGATCCAGACTGAGGGTAGTAGAGGCTGAAAGAAAGATGGACTTCTTACACACTAGGCTGCACTGTTGAAAAGACTTCCAAGTTCAGACGGTGTAACTTAGCGAGAGGAAGCAACAGATAGTGCGGTGAGATACTTTCCTGTTTCTGTTCTTCCATTTTTTTTACTGATTCACAGCGCATGAGCTGATCCACAATAATTGGCGCCCCTGTTCCGGTTGGAATGTATTGGAAGAAAAGATAAAAGTGGCATGAGAGAGAAGAAATGAGAGGAAAAAAAGAGGGCTCGGTAAATGCACCAGCACGCATATGTGCAGCTGCGTCCTATATGGCAAAGGGGAACTGGGCTCACTTTTGCATGTTGAGTCATGTGCGGCAGCCTAATCCACTGTATACAATTGTTGCCAGGATGAAACTCATTTAGTAAAACGAGAGAAGACAGGAGAGAGACGATGAAGCGAAGTGCCACACTACTAGCTGTTTAATGACATTATCAGATACAAACAGGTAAAGTCTTTGCCGAATGTTTAGCAGAGCAAAGCTGTGATGCAGAATGACATGGTTACGACAGCAACCCATTCAGGAAACCCAGTTATTAGAAAATTTTCGGCGCATACACAATAGACGAAAAACGAAAGATCAGAAGTCAAATAGGCACTTGTTGTCTTCTCGCCTTTCCTTTTTCGTCTGTTGTGTGTGTGCCGAAATGCTTCCAATAATGTCCTCAAAGCAACTCGCCCAGCTTTTCATACTATTACAAAACATGCTTACGTTGAACACACGGTCATGCACTTTCTTCATTGTCATAAAAAGCTTTCAACATGTCTTTCTCAGTTTATGCCCAACTTTTCATGCTAGAAGCAAGTAAGTACAGTGAATCTAAGCACAAACTTTCCTATGAAGTTCTTTTGGAGCTTCATCGACCAACTCAAATATTAACTGAGATAACACTGTTAACGCACATCAGGAGTGTCACATTCATACCAGGGGTCTGCGCTGCAGTTTCATTTCCAGTATTTTCTTCATGTTTGCCTGAATCTCGCTGCAGATCTTCCGGAAGACAGTCTCATCGTCTCGTGGATCACGTGTCTTCGACTCTTCCTCCTCCATTAGGAAGTAGTCCATGTGGAGATTCTGCACAACAATCAGGTCCACAAATACCATCAGGTGAACAACACCAGCAAATCAAGTCGCTGAAATTTTACTTGCTAAGCAACTACACAGCAATGTTGTAATGTACCTGCAAACTTGAAACCACTAAACTTAATAAAAGTCATACATACAAGCGAAACAGACAGAAAGAGCTTGCATTACTTCATTAAAAACTTATTAACAATGACCTACATTTAGGTGAGTAGAATGCAAGCAGTGGCCAACTAGAGAACACATGGGATTTGCTTCTAAACAAAATTTATCTGTCAGCTATCTAGTAGCGTAACTAATCTTAAATAAGTAAGACCTTCACATTGAGCTTTTCATTTTAATGGCACTGGTGTAAGAGGGAGAATCAGATAACAGCATCATAATCTCTTTTCATGTGTACTTATTGAATAAATCATTTTATTTCAAATTTGGTAAATAGAGAGCCTAGGCCTCGGGCTGCCTAGATGGCTGCTTGCAGTGGTCGACGCCACGCTGCCTTACGACTCACTGGACGTCCCAAGTTGGTCTCAAAGTTCTGAATTGAGCAGCGCGGCTGACAACCCCGCCTGCAGATCTTATGAGGAGACTGCCATAAAATCTTGACAAACCAGACATTCACACATGTGTTGAAAGGTGCCTCTAGTAGACTTGCATCACTTGCGTGAATCTCGGGGTAGAAAGTATTTAATTGCATAGAATCAGGACAGATTTCTGTCGGCCATTGCCTTCAAGTAACGAACTCAGCTGTGTTTTGTTTAGCGTGCGGCAGTGGCAAACGTTACTTCCACAATTGATCAAATTTGCTATTGTCGCTACATCTTTCCAATCTATATTTTTTTTAGATCTCCTCCTCTATGTTCCCGTGACCAATATAAATCCCTCTTTGCTCAGCTTGGTGACAAACACCTCGAGCTTCGTCATCAACCTCGCGGGGGTTGATGACGGGAATAAGTAGAGATGTATGCGCTGGGTACCGTAGCAATCGCCTGTCGTTCTTCTCTGCATTAGAGATCATTGCTTTGATAATTAAAACAATGTGCCACATCCAGGGGAGATCCTGCCCTTAGCATAAGCTAGAACCGATGCCTTAATGATGTACTGAACATTTGTGGAGACCAATATTAGAGCAGTGACTACTTCCTTTGCAGTGCTGAAGAATTTGGTATTCACCAACATGCTGGTAAGGAAAGGAGCTTTTGGTTATAATCTACAACTACTGCCATGCAGCTATTTTGTTTGGGTATTTAGCCACGTCTACGAACGTGGCTCTGTCATCTTGACCCATAGATTTGGGTCATTTTCTCTACTCTACTTGAGTGTCCGCATTTGTAACCTGGGTGGATGTTCTTGGATATATTCAGTACTAAAAGCTAGTCGCCAATTTTTCTTGTCGTCTTTGCATGTGGTAACTGATTCCTAGATTGGGTAGCATATTCCATGCTTTTAGAGTTTTCGTTAGTCATGCTGCTTGAGATACTTAGATATTTGTTGTGCTTCTATGAGCTCATCTAGTGTGTTCTGGAGCCCTAACTTTCAAGAGAGATCCGGGCTTGTACTCATGTGAAGAATCCCCAGTGCCTAGCTTGTACACCTTTTTTTTTTTTTCACAAAACAGTGCAGTACTGCCTAAATATATATATAATGAGATCTAAGAGGTCGTAGGTTCGATTCCTGCTCACGGCAAGTTATTTTTTCACCCACTTTTCTTTCTTCTTATTTACTTTACATTGGTTCTAATAACTTCCCTTATACATTCCTTGGCATTACTGTCTGTTAGATCTCATTATATTGTGTCAAAACATGAAAAAACTAGCCGAGGGTCTCGTACTGGCAGACTTGGTGCCGTTAGGTTGTATCATAGGTTGACTCGTGCTTGCCGCTGTACGCTGCCTGGCCGTCCGTCATCAACTTCTTCCGCGCATCTGCATGACGTAAAGAACCTGCTGACTGCGGAGATAACCTCACGGAGTCTGCGCCTGCGCCATCAGAAACAGTGCCACCTACGCCTATAAAAGCATCGCCTCAACGGGAATTCATCGGGATTTGCGGCCACACGCAGCATGTGCTAAGTTGTGCACTTTTCTATCATAGGTAGGAATTTTGTGCTTGTTATTGTGACTTAGCTAAGTGCAATTGTTTGTGGCTGCTTATCCCCCTTCCTGTACTTTGATTGTTGTTCAAATGGGTGTTGATCTGTGCACTCACCGGGCACGCATGGTCTGTTCTCTGTGCGCCATAAGCCCCGGTACAGCAGTGTCGTTCCCTTCAGTGACAGTTCGCACTTCATCCTCGCTCTTTGCCCTAGACCTTCGCTAGGATTACTATCAGTATGCTTCGCCTTGCTACTGCTCCAAGCGGGAGACGTTGAAACCAATCCAGGTCCCAAGATTGACGACGTCCTAGTCTTCCTTAGGGAGTTTCGTGAAGAAGTCGCGACAGACATAAACGATGTGAAAGAACAAGTTGCTAATCTAAACACCCGGATCACCGCTATTGAAAGCAAAATTAGTAGTGTACAAGAAATACAGGATCACTTTGACGCAGTCAGGACATCCGTTCATGAAGTTAAGGCTAACATAAGAAAAACTAATGATGAGCTCATTGATGTCGTAGACGATATCAGTAACAGAATGAGGCGTAACAACCTAATAATTAAAGGCATACCTGAAAATGGTCAGGAGGGATATGCCGAATCCGAAACCATCGTGAAAGATTTCTGTTCTACCCACTTGAAGATTAACGTTGGCGACATCGAACGCGCTCATCGTATTGGTCAGCGCCGTCCTGGCTTTCATAGGCCTATCATCATTAAGTTCCTCAATTTCAAAACCAAAACAGAAGTTTTACGGAACGCCCCCAAACTGAAAAACCTCGATTTCCCGAAGGTATGGATAGAAGAAGATTTTTCTCCCAAAGTTCAGTTGGCTCGCAGAAAATTGCGTGAATATGCCAGGAGTAATCGTGAAGGAACAGAACCATTTTCTATACGTTATAACTCTCTGCACTTGAAAGGCTCCATCTACCGATATGACCCTGTCAAAGATAACATCGTAGAAGTTCCTACACGCAACCAGTCATCGCGTACTTGACAAAAACTTGCAGAAAAATCCAAAGCTGTATCTTCAAATACTGTCTCGTTACTTTTGGCCAACTTCCGCAGCCTGTATCACAAACTAGACAGTTTAAAGGCACTGATGCATACTTGCTCTGCTGATGTTATAATTGGTACTGAAACCTGGCTATCCAGCGACGTCGCGGACAGTGAACTAGCTCTGCACCCGTCTTTTAAGATATTTCGCAAAGACAGGGAAAATTCTCGAGGAGGCGGAGTTATCATTGCTATCAGAGGAGATTATAATCCTTCACTTTTGATTGTCGATACTCCCCTAGAACTAGTTGCGATTACCGCGCGTATTGGTCATGCGCAGTGTGTGATTGTTGCATGCTATCGCCCGCCTGACAATCGGTCAGACTTTGTACACTTATTTAATACCGCCATTGAACATATTTTTTCTCAATATCCGAAATGCATTTTGATAGTAGGGGGAGACTTTAACTACCCTTATATCGACTGGTCAAACTCTTCTCTGAAAGAAAACAGCAATAGATCTGAATGTGTTAATTTCTTGCATACTCTGCATTTTCATCATTTATCTCAAGTTGTACAAAAACCAACACGAGGCAATCATATCTTAGACTTAATCTTGACAAATCATCCTGAATTCAGTGAAGTCCGAGTGCTTGATCCAATAAGTGACCATAATGTCGTACACTGCTCGTTTGCACTGAAATCCACCGTACAAAAGAAAATGAAGAAGTGTATTCTCAGTTACGCTCGCGCTAATACTGAAAAAATGATGGCCATTTTAGCACCATTTGCCGCAGACTTTTCAAATGAATTCCAAAATAGATCTGCAAATGACAATTGGTGTTTGTTTCGAGACAGACTGAAGGAAGTTGAAGCTAACTGTATACCTAAGATAACCATCACCTCAAGGCCGAACGACCCCTGGTTTAACCACGATGTAAAAAAATGCATAAACAAGAAAAAAAGAGCTTTCAGAAAGTTTTCTCGGACAAAGACTCAAGCAGACTGGGAAAACTACAAGAACATATCACGTCTTACAGAAACAGCTATTGCTAACGCCAAAAACGAATTCTTCAACTCTATCCTTCCAAATATGCTGAAAACTGACCCAAAAAAGTTTTGGCAAGTTGTAAACCCCAAACATAATCATGCAGCTCCCTTACTTACTGAAAATGGCGTGACTTTGAGCATTATAGATAGCGCAAACAAGTTTCGTAAATGTTTTTCCGACGTTTTTACTAGGGAACACGCACTTCATGATGCTCATATATCTCATCAACTGCTCATCCAGTACCCTTTCTTGCCCATCGTAATATCACAAAATGGCATATCTCGTGCCATTGACAGGCTCCCTAATAAAACCAGCCCCGGTCCGGATGGTATAAGCGCCAAACTTCTAAAATTTACGTCCCAATACTCGTCTTTATTGCTATCTTTAATATTTCAACAATCGCTGGATACAGGATGCGTACCAGAAGATTGGAAATCTGCCTTAGTGATTCCAGTTTTAAATCAGGTGACTCCACAGATCCCACCAACTACAGACCAATTTCTCTAACATGCATCTCCTGCAAACTGCTTGAGCATGTTTTGTATACCCACATTATAACTTACCTCAACCAAAACAACTTGCTTCTTGATAACCAACATGGATTCCGTCAACATCGCTCATGTCAAACTCAACTGTTCGAACTCGTCACAGATATTCACACTTCAATACACAATCAACTTTACATAGACGCCATCTTCATTGACTTTTCTAAAGCATTTGATCGCGTGCCTCACAATCGCCTCAAACTTAAAATCAGAAATTTACAACTTGATTACAACTGTACGCGATGGATTGAAGATTCCTTAGTAATAGATTCAGGTAATCAGTTTGCAAGATTGCTTTTCTACCCGT